AGAGAGGGTCACACCTTTTTCGCCAACAACTGTTTCATCACCACCATCAAGAATTTCAAGATCTCGCTTCAAACAGCAGATATCAATGACTTCCTCGTAGCGCTTCTGGTCCCATTCGCTTGCAAAGACAATGTTTTCCTTGACGGTGCCATTGACTAGCCAGGCTTGCTGAGCACAATAAGCTACACTTTCTGTGAGGCCAGTCTCAGGATCAGGGGTAAGATCTTCTCGGCTGACTCCTCCAGGCAAATAGACTTCACCCTTTAGCTTTGTCATCTCACCAAGCAGACCCATGAGCAGGGAAGTCTTTCCCGAACCAGTCGGACCGACGACAACATTGAGCTTGCCGGGTTGGAATTTCACGTTGAGATCGATCAGCTTAAATGCATCTGCTGCAGCCTGGTCTGCCATGTCTGCACCACCCCAGCTGAAGGTACCATTGTCGAACCCAATCAAAGGCTGGCCATGTTCATCTTTCTTTTGAGTAATGAGCTGCGAATACTTGTCTGTCTCCGGCTCCATCAGGTACTCTTCAATACGGTCAACCGATACCTTGGATTCTTGGACGTGTGCAACCATATCTGCAAGTTGATCCAGAGGAATCCTTAGAATCTGGAACAGTGAGAGAGCAGTGAAAGCAACTGATGGAATCAAGGCTTTATGTTCAACGTTGGTATAGACCAAGAAGGACAAGAACGTAATCAAAACAGGGGAGCCCGACCATATCGTGGCGGCCACAGCCCAGAGTACGTAGCGACGGCGCAGATGCTTCAGCTCAATGTGTCGTTTCTCGTTGACGAGTCCGATAAAGCGCTGCTCCCAGGCGAAGAATTTGATGATTCGAATATTGGTGAGAACCTCGTTGGTGGTGTGGATTCGTGCGTCGGTAGCAGCGAGAATGAGCTTCTGGATCTTGGCAAACTGTCCGGCGACATACATGTTGACTGGAAGTAGGAAGACCATCATGCCGATACCAGCAATTGAGCTGTAGCCCAAGATGCGGTAGAGCAGAAAGACGGCGACAACGACTTGGACAGGTGTGTTTGCCCATAGAAAGTGCAGATAGGCGCATATCTCGCTAACCTTGAAAGCGTCTACAGCCATGAGGTTGATGATGGCACCAGTAGTGACCTGAGCGTCGGATCCTGACTGTGATTTGTCCACATCCTCGTCGTCAGATGCACCAGACTTGTTCTTCTTCTTCTTGCCGAAATTGAAGATGCGCTTCAATCCCTTGGGCTGCTCATCCTGCTTATCCGACTCGTGTTGCTTCTTCTCCTCACCCAGCACCTTGTCCGTGGTTGCTCCCGCTCTACGTTTCAGAGCTTTTGCGTAAATCTCTCCAATAATGACGGCTCGCAACCGAATGCAGATCTTGCGGCCAAGCCAAAGTGCTTGTCCATCGGCCAGCGCCGATAGAGAACCAGAGACGAAAAGTAGGATGACATAGAACCATGCAGCGTTCGCTGGAGTCTGATCTGGCTGCTCGACATACTCAAGGATAACCTTCAAGAGAAGCGTAGGCGCGAAAGTGAGGAAACCCGAGATGGCAGCCCATCCTGCTTGGATAAGCAGACCGCGCTTGAAATGCTTCAGAAGGTGGTAGGCCAAGCTTGAAGTCTTCTTGACTTGGCGGTATTTTGCAATGACGGCCGCAGCCTTGTCTTTTGAAGGCAGATTCCACACGTCTGAAAGCTCATAGGTCTTTTTGTATCCTTTCCAAACAATGGGGTCGACCCAGCTGAAAGTGGCAAGAGAGAATACGCTAGCAATGGGTTCCCGCGCTGGGGCAATATCTCCTTCGTATTCAAGATGTACGGTTTTGTTGCCTTTTCTGGAGCAGAGGGCGATAAGGAAGAGCAGCGAAACGAGGGTGAAGTCGCCAATCATCAGCTTCTGATGTACAGCGGATCGGGGGTGGATGATTGCCGATCGGAAAAGCAAGATGCTAAAGACCCATTGGCAGCCATAGATGAAGGCGGTGTGATACCAAAGAGGTGGGAAAGAGAAGCGACTCGTGCTGGAAAAGAGCAGGCGGAGCGAGGCTAGAACAGCAACATAAGCCCAGACAGCGACACTGGCCATGGCGGCAGTCTTTGCGTGGGTGCCCCAGGCATGAGTTACAAGTATGGCGACATGCAGACCCAGCTGGGCGAGGACTGCAGCTTCCTCGAGGACGACAATAGTGAGCTGCCCGCGGGGCTTATCGGCGGCGATGGTGGACATGGTCTTGACGGGGCGGAGGGCGAGGTCTTGCTGCCGGTCGAGCTCGTCGTGGGCATCATCGTGATAGTCGTCGTCGCCATTGTAGTTGGGGCTTCGCAGAGACCATGGATTAGTAGTATCATCGAGGGCGCTATATGCATGGTAGTATTTGGAGGCAGTGGCAGCCGAGTAGAGCTGGCGCAGCAGGAAGAGGAGCGATATGGCGCAAACAATGAGCGGGAATAATGTCTGGAGATAGCTGTGGCGCGCGTCAGTTTTGGCGCCTTTTGTTCGTAGTGGTGGTGGTAGTAGTAGTGGTAGTAGTAGTGGTGGCGCATGGCCAAACGGCGGGCTTGACGTACTCGCGCTCGAAACAGGTGGAGAAGTCGTCTGCCCCCCAGAGGGGGCCTTTGCAGTGGGCAAACATGGTGTCGACTGCTGTTGTATGAGGCCTGCGGTGCGCAGCGGCGACAGTGGTGGTGATGGGCGTGTCCAATTGCGCCCAGGCCTCGCGCACTCGCTCTCGTTATCGGCGAGCGGTGAAGCGCATCGAAGGGCGGCAGGGTGACTCGACGGATATAGGCAGCAGTGGTGTCGAGGCGATTGCGCGGCAGCAAGTAAACGACGGCAGCAGTGCCTGTGGGCGCCGAGATGCACGGTTGGCGCGGTGATTGCAGAGGAAGGGTTGTTGCCTGCTCGACTTTACCGCGCCTTTGCTACGGTAACTAGTCGCCCCAAAAGCCTTTCGGCATGCGCGCACTGACGCTGGTGAGCGATGAGCGCGAAGGCCGTTTGTGATGTAATCCGGCACTTTCACCGATCACGGCTTGGCGCCAGAGGAGATCCGACGCCTTGTGCGGATATACGCCTGCGCCAATTGGCCACGACTGCCACACCGGACGACCCTGCCAGAGCCACCGCAACAGGCGTGCCACCGCTATTCGACAAGTACGTTGACTCATCTGCTCCATCGCCATTGTCGTTGCAGCCGCAGCCGCAGCCGAGGCCACTCCCATGCGCCCTTTGCCATGTGTGCGCCCTTGGCCGTCCTACTACGGCCAACTCCGGCGCCCCCAGCGGTTGGATGCGCCGTCGACCTTGTAGCCACAACGGCCTTGTCCAACCACCATGATCGACTCCATCTAGTCCCTCGTCTCGTCTCGCCCGCCCGTTGGCAGGCGGTACCTACAGCAGCCAAGCAACCGGTGGGAGCGGCCCACACGCCACGGTGGGACTGCGTGATCCATTACCCCACAACTTAGCCCCATCTGCAGTCCGTGTATAAGCATCCCATATCACCTGTGGCGCCGCCTGCGATATCTGCTCTACCACAACCACGCTTCTTTGTCTAGTCGTGTTCGAGTCGAGTGAGACGTGTGTCCCTGCATATCCTGATATCTCTTGCTATGCTGAGCATTCAGTACACCATCTCATACTACACCATGCACCAACGGAGCCGGATACTTTCGCTCGTCAGACAACGCCAAAAGAATAGAGTGGAAATGGAATGAAAATAGAGTGGGGTAACAAAGCCATGTACTGCAGCTGGCTGACAGCAAGACTGAGCATCGAATAAGCCGGCAAACAAAGAATGCGACCAATCGGGGCGTGACGGCACGTGACTGTGTCTTGGCAGCCATGACCTTCAACATCGCAGCATTGGTCACCTCCACCACACTGCTCCCCCACAAGTATGCCTCCGCACGTCACATCCACTTACCTAGAAGCTCAACTGGTGATCTCCGCCCGCCAATGCAGTCTGGTTGTCAAAGCTTGTCCTATGACAAGCCTTTAACCACTGCATGGAAGATAGGACCGGTCTCGGGCTTGGGGCTTTTCTCCGTCCATTCCGGCAAACAAGAATTTGACAGTTGTTCCCAACAAGTTGACCTGTAAACACAGCGAACTCACCGTTGCACATTTAGTCATTTCCTTCGAATGTTATTGTAGCAGCTGCCAACCGTCTTAATGTGGTGAGGCCTGGGCCTGCCTGACTCGCACCCTCTGTCAACAATGGCCAGTATCAAGGAAGCCGAAAGTACCGACCCATGCACGGACAGAGAGCCGCCATCTGCCGCGTATGCATGCATCCTGACTTTACATTCCAAACCCTTCGCAAACCATGTAGCAACTCAGATCATAAGAGCTAGGCTGAACGACGAAAGAACAAACACTGGTCGGCCCAATTCGAGTCTGGACTGCTGGAAGCAAACACATGATCGTGTTCACAGTTGGGATTATACTGATACACAGGTTAATTGACCTCACATGTTATCATTAGGTGGGTCCCGCACTCATAGGCTTTCCGTGCATCCAAGCATAGGCCTAGTAACCCAAACGAGGAATCGCTAGTTCAGAGTAGTCAAACTCGTATCCAATCCGAGTCGAATATTGTATTAGCCTCTTTGTAGACCGACCGCTCGATCAGAAAGTACCAGATAAATGCAACAGCTACTGAGTGCCATACCTACCACACTCGGACAAAAAGCTCCATTGTTCAATCAGCTTAATTATCCTATTCTTACCGCTCAAGTCCGTCACGGAACCTCGGACTTCACTTCGTCCGTTTTTATTGGGATAATCGCAAGGATTGCAGCCATCACAGTTGTAAGGGCAACACACTAACATCTCATCACACTTTAACATTTATCGGTCTCTTTTACGGCCCGTCCGGATACTCTCCGCCCTAACGTGAACGACAATAGGGAGTGAAATATAATCTGTCGCATAGGGAGAATCTGTCATATCATCATAATCACTCATGCTTGCTATTTCTTAACACTCTATAGCCCGTAATGCACTCTTCACCAGTGCTTGCAGCAGCACTTGCCGCCTTCTTTGGCCTCTCATCTGCTTTGGCTCTCCCTTCCGACGTTGATACTCGCAACGTCATCCAACCCGATGTAGCAATCATTGCTCGAGCTTCCTCTGCAATCAACGCCGCCATCCAAACTTTACCCACACTCAGCCCCAGTTCATGGTCACCAGTGCTCACGTCCCCTTTTACCTGCAGGTCTCCGCCCCAGGATATCTTGGATGGCTTCTACGACCAGGTGAATGCGCTGCAGGGCCAGCCCACCTCTTTTTATACCGGTGCGGCGTGGAGGGCCCAAGATAGCGGTATTCTTTGCGAGTAAAACAAGTCCATTCTCCTCCCTTTGCTACTTAAGAGCTTGGAAAAAGCGTGAAATACGTTTCCAAGGCGACCCTTTTTTTGATTCTTCTCTTCTCTCGGCATGGACGATTGAGAGATCTGCTTTTTTTGTTAAACTAGGGGAGAGGGTTTGTATGTTTTCTCTCTCTTTCTTTAGATCGAGAATTGGTAGCCGATAAAAATGTATGATTATGTGATATGGTGTATTTTTTCCTACCCCTCATGAATACATTAAACAACATCATTTTTATTCATCACTTTTTTTTTCTCGCAATACCTAGATGTGAATCGCGAAAGAACAATTTCATGTTGGAAGATTTAGTACTTTATGTTTTTTAGCCATGAGCTGATCACTCTCTCCCCCCTCTCCCCTTGTCGGCCTAATAAAACAAATACACAAACCAAGGTTTGAATCTTATGTGGGATGGGAACTGTATCATAAAGAAGAAAATAGCCACATAGTAGATATCTGAGACTACGTACTGGAAATAAAAGAACCAAGGGCTTTGATAACTTTGCATAAGCGAGACTAATGGTGAATTTTTCCCTATCTACGCACGAGGCTTGGCTACGGGGGTCCATGGGGAATACTTGTTCTTGACGCTATTTGTGCGTAAGTCAGCAAAACAAAGAAATCACTCGCAAAAGATTACCCCAAAAAAGGAATAGGAATTTAGAACATACGTGCTGTAAGGCTTGTATCCAGATCGACTCCAAGTAAGGGTAGGCCTGTGCTCCTTTGGCTCCCAGACGCGGACCTGACGCTGCAGAAGCGGGTCTGCAGCTGGTGACTTGTCGACCATGTATGACATCCAAGCGTGCCTGTTTGCAACCCCCCCAAAGTCAGAAGAATGCTCCTCCTGCAATGACTAATACAGGGAGGAAAAACGTACCATCCGGGCTCGATCTGAGAACTGTATGATTGCGCGTTAATGTGATTACCGCTTCCTATAGAGGCGAAGACTCACGGATCAAACTCCTTATCCTTGTAGTCTACCCAGCGTGTTCGCACTGTTTCCATGCAATTAGCCACCATTGTTCCTCTTTCCAGCAGGCACTTCCCCCCTCCAGTTGGGGATAATGGCAATTCTTACGCGGCAGCTCCTCCTCCAGATTCTCAAAGTACTTGTTGCCGTATCTATCCGTGCCAATCAAGGTTCCGGCTTTGGTATCACCTGCAATGCATCAGTCCCGCCGTTCTCTTGTCCCCCAATTGCACAGGTAGCCGTGTGCCAAGAAAAGCGTACCGATATTCTATTACGAGCGAGAAACGAAGCCATCAGTTTGTATTCCGGGAAGGAGGCAATTGGAGGAGGGGGGCATTTCATGAGCGTACCGCCATTTGGTGGGCATAGTCCTAGGTCAGAGTTAGTGACGATGGTACTGCGACAATGGAGCTAGAACAGAAAGCTTACCTTGATTCCGATCCGGCGCAGGTTGCGCAGCGTTCTCATAAGCGTGGACATGGCGGCTGTGGTGCGAGCTGGTTGATGGTCGCTGGTGGCCCGCTCGTCGGACGTCGCTGAGGCGCGATTGATGATGCCAAGACTGTCGCTCACGCTATACTCTTTTCTGGGCTAGCGCGATCATGTCCCTTCGTTTCCTAAAGTGCATCCGATGTTGATACTTCAAGACTTCAACAGATATCAATTTTTTTCGACAGTGTGCAGCGAAGGCTTATGGGAAGATGATAGGCCGGGGCTTATTGAGAATTCAGGCGCCCAGAATTGCGGGCAAAAGAGCTTTTTGTCTTCCTGCGAGACTGACCAAGACGACGAGGTATTCGACTTCGACTGCGGGAATGACGTCGCAGGTGCCGCAGAGCCAGGCGGCCATGCTGGCGACGATTACATCGGATCTGGATAAGATCGCTCCGAGGTTTGAAATGCAGCCCGAGCAGATTCAGATTATTCAGACGCCTGCTGAGTTTTATCAAACGCTGAAGGTAGGTTGATATTTCTTTCTCTTCTGTTCATCTTTGCTTGTCAAGCATGTGCCATATATCCTTGGTTATTTTGTGAATATTTGTTTCAGTTTCTTGTTTCGTACATTTTCCACGACATTAGAGGACCTGTCTTCTTGGGCACAAGGACTCCTATGAATGTACTTCTTATTTTTTTTAAAAAAAAAATGTCAAGGAAACCCCAGAGATGAGCTACATGGTAGCTTCTCACTTATTCTCTGTTCAGTAGCTTTAGAAAATATACCCATAGGAAATACGTGAGACAGCACAATTGAACACTCACCATTCCAATCCCACTAACCCGCTCCAGGACAAAATCTCAAAAGCCCAACACAGAGTCTACCTCAGCACCCTTTACATTGGCAAAACAGAACACGACCTCATCAGCACCATCCGTGCAGCCCTCCTTCGAAACCCCAACCTCCACGTCTCATTCCTAACAGACGCCTTACGCGGGACCCGGGAAACCCCCAACCCATCCACGGCCTCCCTCCTCGCCCCTCTAATCACAGAATTCGGCGCTGAGCGCGTCCAAATACGCATGTACCACACACCCAACCTCACCGGTCTCCGCAAAAAATACATCCCCAAACGCATCAACGAAGGCTGGGGCCTCCAGCACATGAAACTCTACGGCATCGACGACGAAATCATCATGAGCGGCGCGAACCTCAGCGAAGACTACTTCACCAACCGCCAAGACCGCTACCATTTATTCCAGTCTGCAGATCTGACTTCGTACTTTGCCAAGATCCACGACGGCGTGTCGGCACTGAGTTTCGACATCCAGCCATGTGACGCGGTGGGCGCAGGCGGCTACCAAATGACATGGCCTAGCACGAACGCAGGCCCGAATCCCCTCTCGAACCCATCTTTGTACCGAAAAGCAGCAGAGAAGCATCTATCGCATCTTCTCACTCCGGCAAACTCGCCGCCAACCTCTTCGTCGCAAAAAAGCTCGCATTCGTCGACGACGACAACAACGACAATCCACCCCATCCTCTCCCTCGTCCCCCTCCTCCCTTCCTCCACCGAACTCCCCGCCCTAACCTCCCTCCTCACCACCCTCGCCCACACCCCATCCACCTGGACCTTCACCGCCGGCTACTTCAACATGACCCCTTCCTTCCGCCGCCTCCTCCTCGCCACACGCCCCGCCTCCGGCACCGTCCTAACCGCGCATCCGCACGCAAACGGCTTCTACGGGTCCAAAGGTGTAAGCGGCATGCTGCCGGCCGCGTATACGCATCTGGCCAAGATGTTCCTCAGGCAGGTGCGGCATCAGGGGCTAAGTGAGAGTGTTGTGTTGAAGGAGTGGAGAAAGGGGAAAGTGGGGGAGGAGGGGGGTTGGACCTATCACGCCAAGGGCATTTGGGTTGCTTTGCCTTGTTCCTCTTCCTCGTCTTCCTCCTCCTCCTCCTCCTCCTCCTCCTCCTCGGCTCAACCTCCTTCTGGTGCGGATGCGCCGTCGGCTACGGAGAATGCCGATACCGACCCGTGTCTGACTGTCATCGGGTCCTCAAACTACACCAAGCGCGCGTACGAACTCGATCTCGAAGCCAACGTTGTTCTTTCTACGACTGATCCCGGGTTGAGGCGGCGGTTGGGCGAGGAGGTGAAGTGGTTGGGCGAGCATGCGGAGAGAGTTGACGAGAGCGAGTTTGAGAAGGAGGAGAGAAAGGTGGGGATGAATGTGAGGTTGGCCATGTGGGCGGTACGGGTACTCGGTGGGGCGTTGTAGGCTTTGGTTGATGGAGAGAAAGGAGAGAGAGAGAGAGTCGTGTCTGTATTGTAGATTGATTGCTTCTTCTTCTGCAAGAGACGTAGTGTAGGAATATATGTATTATTAGTCAAAGCCACAATCATCACACAATATAAAAAAAGACACGGAAAAAGACGATTTCCCAGACGTTGGGATTCTCCTTCCCTATCATTATTCAGTATTATCCGTGAGCTATGTAGCGGGTATCTAGATATGGGGCGTGAAAACGTCGAGTAAAAAGAAAAGAAAAGAAGCCAAGGTGAAAGTTCAAAGTTCCTCACGCTTCCAACAGCTTAGTGTCTACCAGCCATCATGAAATCCTGGAAATCCTCGGCATCCTGTATAGAATTGAGTCTGCTAGCTATCTCTGCACTCGCGCTGAAATGATTTCATGTCATGTCGCGAGAGTAAAAACAGCTGTATCTCACTAAAGGAGAGTCGAGCAATTACGAGTGGCCTTCCACACTACCAGGCCTCGATCGCCAATAACACGGTTGATGGTGTTCCAAACACCGTCGTCGGCAAAATCCATGTCGTCAAGGTTGAGGTGCTGTCGGTAGCTCCACACTTCTTCTAGCCGGACATCATTCTGCTTAGTTGCGTCTTGGTATGGCTTCAAGAAGTAAGCAGACCGTGGTGCTACAAGATATGTAGCACCTTGATCCTCGACCCGTGGGGGTTTTCGAGTCCGACATGGTGGGAGCGCTTCCTTTACTCTTTCAAGCATCTGCTCACCAGGGCAGCCCATCAAATCCACAGTCTTGAGTTCTTCATTCTTGCCGTTCAACAGCCAGGTGGGCGGGCTGTACGTCTTCCACCAAAAGGCATGGCTGATGGTTTCGTTGGTCTTGGCGATGTTGATCTGTACAGGCACGATGCCACCCTGATGATACACGCCCATCAATAACCCCAAGGCTACGTTGAAGACGACCCACGTTGCTATCCAAGGCTTTTTAAAGGGCAGGTTCGGTACGCGTATCGAGGACAGGACCAAGGGTACAGCGGGCAATAAGAAGCGCGCCTCTTGATGTGGGAAGATGCTGAGTAGAGCGACACCAGACAGAGCTGATATCAGGTTCATGGTGATGTGCGCTTTGCGCAAGAAGAACAGGAGTGGAATGGCAGGCCCAAGTAGTTGAGGAAGGTTGACCAGGAAGTGCTGATACCGCGGATGTATGCCATGCTGGGCAAGATTCTCGGACTGCGAGTTGTAGAGGAAGTTGTTGAAGGGCGTAATGACGGGAGTAGTAAAGACTTTTGAAAAGGTGAATTCGCCTGGGGTATAAAAGGCCGTATCGATACAGACGGCAAGGAAGACTGTGGCAAGAGCAAATGTAGCCAAGAAGACTAGCGAAAATGGCCTGTGAATGTCAGTATGGTCCGAGTGGCGCGACCGAGGGGTAGACTGACTTGCGCTGGAAGTGCGGTAGCAGTGTTGTGGCAGGCAAAACCAGAAATGCTGGAAAGGTAATGCGATTGAAGATGCCGACGACGGCCATGAAGCCCAAGATGGACGAGGCTAGTATGCCGGAGCGTTTCTGCAAGTCTGGTTAGCTGCATATGCTAGGTGGGCGAGTGGCTGACGTAGCCATACCTTATCGCCAGTGATTCTCTGGATCAAAACCAAACTCCAGAGCACCAGTAGTGTTTCGAGGCTGTTTGAAAAGGTGTGCGTCTGGAAAGTCCATGTCACGTACGAGGATGCAACCAGGACGACGGCGATGCGTCGGGCGCGGGGCGACGCGACCAACTCGTGGATTGCCCAGTCCTCCATGACGACGCTCAGCGACAGCATGAGCAGGCGCAGTGTCCAGTAGACGACCGAGGGCGAAACGTCATATCCGGAGCCCTCCCATAGCCAGCGCAGGATGTACATGGGCCAGCCGTATGCAAGCCATAGTGGGAAGGTGCTGCGGATGGGGTGGTCCGAGGTAAATTCCCATGTTTCGTGGACGGGGTAGGAGAAGACGCGTCCTGGCCATTGTCAGAATGAGGGGCCACACGTTTGCGTAGGGCAGACGGGGAAGGCATTACCAGCGACAACCTCTGGGCCCTGGAAGTTCTCGTCAGGGTGCAGGTAACTGGGCGACAGGGCAAAGTAAATGCGGACTAGAACGAGGAGAAAGTAGACTCTCCGCCACATGATGGCAGCAGGTTGGGGAAGGCGGAGGAGTGTGTAATGGCCACGTCGCACAAGGGCATGTCTTTGGTGGTGGAGTGGTTGTTTGCGCAAAAGTGAGGCCAACGCATGTTTTAGTGCAGCAGGCCTATGTCAACCAAGAAGTTGGACGCGGATAAGGGGGAGCCGATTGTCATAATTGGTGCAAGGCGTGGATGTTGTCAGACCTGGGTCTTGGAGCACAAGGACGGTCCAAGTCCATCATGGCAGGCTGGCGAGCAGAGTTGAGAGATGAGACTGCTGTCAGGCGGCTTGATCAGATGGGCCAGTGGCAGTCAGGCAGTCCGGCAGTCCGGCAGCCAGCTCGCATCCTCGAGGGCAGCCTGCGGTGGGGAACTGGATGCGGCCAGCCACGTCACGTGCCGGAACACCAGTGGTGTACCTAGTATACGAATGAACACCTGTTTGTAGCATCTTGCCTACATGCACGTCTGGCAGAGAGACAGTCGGCTTCTCTGCGGACGACTCAAAAGTACCACGGTCGACGCATTCGCCATGGCGGGGCCTCGCTCAACAATGCCAGACCCGTCCAGCCCAGCGTACATAGTATGTACGTACATGTGCGCAATACATACGTGCCTACACAGCACAGGACACGGTTGGTGTTGGTAGCTAGGCATCCTTTCTTTCGGCTGCGCCATTGCACGCCACAAGTCGGCCTTCTGGCTGCTTCGACCGGCCCCAGTGCGGCCCCTGTATCTGCTCTCGTCGTTGCGCGGAGAGGGAGGGGAGAGGAGACCCCTCATCCACAGGGCTCCGCTGGCTCCAGCGGCGCAGCGCCGTGCAGCCTGCGAGCATCCGCAAACAAGGCGCAAACCAAAGCCGTTTCGCGCAGCCATGGCCGCAGACAAAGGCCCAAGCCCGTGTCAAAGGCGCATCCCGTATTGACAGTATCCAAGTCGACAATGCTCTCTTGACGCTTGTTGTGGTGGTGGTGGCAGGGGCAAAGCGAGCGAGGCTCTGGCGACGGCAGCCTTGCGCTTGGGCCTGATTGGGGCGGCTTGGCCTAAGCTCGCCTCTGGGTTGCGGCGGCGGACGGACAACCATCGTCGTTGCCTTTCTCCTACTCCCCTCTCTGAGCGCAACCCTACAAACACCCCGTCTCTATATAACCCCCCCGTCGTCGCCTTCTTTGCCTTTCCCAACACCACCCCACTTGCCCCGACCAGTAGCCCATTGACTTCGGGCTCTGCGCGTTCCATCTCCATCTACCCCAGCCACAGCTTACCCCACTTACACGTCGACTCTACACCACCACCCCAACGCCGACTACAATGGCTGCCACTAATGCCGAGGGTGTCAAGCTCATCAGCATCACCACCTCTGATGGCGTCAACATGCAGGTCGAGCGCCCTGTTGCCGAGCGCTCCATCCTCATCAAGAACTTGCTCGAGGATCTCGGGGGTGAATCCGACGAGTCCATCCCCATCCCCAACGCATGTCACACTACCCCCTGCCTAAGCAACCACCGCTGACAGCTCTCAGGTAAACGAAGCCGTCATGAAGAAGGTGCTCGAGTGGTGCACCCACCACAAGAACGACCCACCCGCCACCCAGGACGACGACTCGGACTCGCGCAAAAAGTCGACCGACATTGACGAGTGGGACCAGAAGTTCATGCAGGTCGACCAAGAGATGCTCTTTGAGATTATCCTCGCCGCCAACTACCTCGACATCAAGGCCCTCCTCGATGTTGGCTGCAAGACGGTCGCCAACATGATCAAGGGAAAGTCGCCCGATGAGATCCGTAAGACGTTCAACATCCAGAACGACTTCACCCCCGAGGAGGAGGAGCAAATCCGCCGAGAGAACGAGTGGGCCGAGGACCGCTAAGAGGAGAAGAAAAAAGCCAAAGTCTCTTGACTGAATCTTCTTTACCTCTTGCATGCCTTCCTATCGGCAGTCACGGCGGGTAGGTTTAGACCATGCGCTGCTATGAGTGGGTTTGTCTCTGGCGCAGCGGAGTTTGACGGTTATGAATCATTTCTATTTTCCATGGGTGTGACAAGGTGACGCCCTCTTGGTAAACATGACTAGTGGCCACTAGTCGGTTATAAGCAGGAAGGGTGCGGGCTCACTGTCTGCTGCATGGACATGTCTGCATCGTTTGCAGTTTTGATTACAGGTAGCTCAATGTAAACAACAAAAGTCCACCGTGTTTGTAGTATGTTTGTCTTTGTTCATGCTGTGGCTGTGTTTGTCCGTGTGCTCGCTTTGCCTCGGCCTTGAGAATGACGTGATTTGTGGTTTGATACGGTTTGACATGGTGATGAGAATTGTCCAAATGGAAAACAAAAAACGTGTCATTCGCTCAACATCGAGACGACTCATACCTCAGATGCAAGGAAAATCAAGCAAAGACGTGAACAGCCAAAAGCAAAAGTTGAATCTCAGTCACAGAGTTTATCCCACCGGACCATTCTTTTGATCTTTCTATACTAAATCCCTGCCCCCTCCATTTTTATTTCGTAGAAGAAGTTTTTAAAAAAAAGAAGAACAAGAAGAAGAAAACGCCAATTCAATCCCGTCATAAACATACACACGTATTTTGCCGCTATTCCTCTGTCTCTCACATGCACACAAAACCTTTTACCACCCCCGCTTGGCCAGCTTGTCCTCCTCAGCCATGGAACTACAGTTGATGCCGACCATTGCCTCACCCAAATCCATACTAACCTCCATGAGCACCTTGGGGTCGTTGTAATGCGTAACCGCCTGGACAATAGCCTTAGCCCTCTTGGCGGCATCGCCCGACTTGAAGATGCCGGATCCGACAAAGACGCCATCGCAGCCCAGCTGCATCATGAGGGCCGCATCGGCGGGCGTGGCCACGCCGCCCGCGGCAAAGTTGACAACGGGCAGACGACCCAGATTGGCTGTTTGCTTGAGCAGCGCATAGTCGACCTGGAG